CCCAAGAAATAATAGAAGCCCTTACTTTGATCAATATAGAACCTTTTGAAGCGATTCTTTCGGTTTGTCCGTATTACAATAAACCTAACCAAGAAGGTATCTATCAGCATTTCAAAAGTATAGCAACGGCATCCAGTAAGCCTATTATTTTATACAATGTACCCGGGAGAACCGTGGTTAATATGGCGGTCTCCACTACGGTACGCTTGGCTCAGGATTTTAAAAATATAGTTGCCATTAAAGAGGCTTCTCCCGATTTTGTTCAATGTTTGGAACTTATAAAAGAAAAACCGAAAGAATTTGTCGTGCTTTCCGGAGACGATGCCTTAGCAAATTCTCAGATATTGGCGGGTGCTTCCGGAGTAATATCCGTATTGGCTCAAGGATTTCCAAAAGAATTTTGTCAAATGGTAAAACACGCATTAGGACGCAGACCTGATGAGTCTTACCGGTTATATAATCTTCTTTATACGATGGAAAGTTTAATTTTTGAGGAAGGTTCTCCCGGAGGGATAAAATGTGTGTTGCATGAATTGGGCATTATACAACCCTATATTCGGCTTCCTTTGGTACAGGCATCTAAAGAGTTAAAAGAAAAAATAAAAGCGGAAATTAGAAAAATTCAAAATGCCAATATATAAAATTAATTATCAATATAATTGACTACATCGAATTTACATTTCATAACTAACTAATAATTCATAATTACTACTTATTATATGTTGTCAGATAAAATAAAAGATGCATTAAATGCACAAATCAAATTAGAGGGAGATTCCTCTAACGGATACTTAGCTATGGCAGTATGGGCAGAGACTAACGGCTTTGAGGGGGTATCAAATTTTTTATATTCGCACGCCGAAGAAGAACGTATGCACATGTTGAAATTAGTGAAATTTATTAATGAAAGAAACGGAGAAGCAAAAATTCCCGATTTTGCAAAACCCAAAAATAAATTTACTAACTTAAAAGAATTGTTTGAATCGGTTTTTCAACATGAAGTAAAAGTAAGCAAACACATCAATGAGTTAGTGGATATGACCTTAAAAGAAAAAGATTATTCCACCATGAATTTTTTACAATGGTATGTTTCCGAACAAATAGAAGAGGAACGGTTATGTC